TTCGCATTTCAATTCAGTATCGCGAAATGCTCTTTCAAAATGGCAGTCATCAAAAAATCGGCCTTGTCGTGAATGTGATAAATATAAGTGTTCAATATGGGCAGTAGAGCAAATTGGAGTGTACGGGATTTTTTACGGTGGAGACATGATTTTTGACAAGGTCGAATAATTAGGTTTTGCCTTGATCTTACAAGGGGCACAATTTTTTAGGAAACTGTGGACGCCAACAAAGCTAAGCTTTGTCAATGATTGCCACTCACCTTTATAGTGTGTGATGCGACAGAGCTTTCGGAACGGCTTATATACGAAAGCGACACTTATTTTTAGTATGTTTGGCTCACTTTTTTCAATGATTGGTCGCAAAAAAATGCAAAAAATCCATATATGAATGCCTGTATACAAATCTACGTGATTACGTTATGAGGCAGCCTGGCTATACCTTGTAGAACTTGATTTGTTCTATCGAACATGCCTTTAATGAATTTTTCACATTCTGCATACTAACCTTGAGTCATTTGTAACTTGATGTGTGAGATTACACACTAAGCCCTGCTAGCGACGGCACCCATACTAGTAACTTCCAGTAAAACATTTTTTTCTAGCCTAACAAAATGTAGAAATGTGTCTTACGGACTAACATATAACCAGCTAAAACAAAAGAAACGAGGGAACAAGGAGAAAACACTGAAAGTGAGCAGGTTTCAGTTTCGCAGTTCGTCATTTAGCGTGTATATTGTGCACTACGCATATTAAGTTGCGAATGACTTGACGATAGACATTAATTTGTAGTCTAAAATACACTCCACCAAAGATACTATCAAACGAGAGTCGTGATCCCTGTACTGCACATTGCTCTCTCTCTGTGCCCTCAGAGCTGAGCCCTGCGTCAAGCCCCGCTTGTCGGTCAGGCCTGGCTCTCAAGTGCTGAGACTATACGCAGTGGCTGACGATTGTCCGAGCTCGGCTTGTCAGCGCAGTGCTCAGAGAGTTCATCTCTCTTCAAGCCTGTGCGGGCAAAGAGATAACTCAGGCTTTCGTCGACTTGTCATTGTTCATGCATTCCTGCATTCCCCATTGTTGTCTTGAAAGTACCCTGGACTAGCAGAACAAGTCTCATTTGCTTCATCTGAAGTGAGCTGTACTTTGCGTAGACTCAAGCTCATCATGCGCTCATGAGAGCCTTTTCTTTGTTTCGGGTTTCAAAGCCCTTCACGATTTTTTTGGTGTTTACAAAGCTCAGTTGGGACATCCTTTGTGCAAAAGAACTGTTCTTTTCGTTAAAAAAGAGAACTTCTAAGAACCTTGAAAGATTTAGGGGCAAGCTGGCCAGTTATCGGCACTAAGTTAAGAAAGTTTTGCTGCCCCAGTATAATAAGGTTTAGCACGTTATGCACTTGAAGCATTATGCAAGTCCAAGGGTTGGTGTTAGGAACTAGGTAAAATCAGCAAAGCTGGTATATCATACTATATCCCGATCAAGCTGTTTTTAACCTAATCCTTCTTGCTGATTACAAAGTATAACCATAGCGGTTTTTTCTTTTGCTAGTTTTAGTTCATGATCTGTTCTTTGTTTGATGTTCTTTGTCTCCCATTCACAGTATAATTCCAAAAAACAATCTACTCATCGATGAACCTAATAGGTGCGCTTTGAGTTTTTTTAATAAGTGATTCTAGAAGAGATAAGTATAATCTCCTAAGACATCCACATAACATAGAAGAAAGCCCTGAGTTATCAGGTGGATAACTGTAGCTATACAGTTATCCACCTGATAACTGTATAACTGATATACATCGTTTTATATGACTGCGGAGAATCGAAGAGTCCATGATCGTTCAGACTTTGCAATTCTAGTTTTTTGTGCTTCTTATCTAGCTTTACTTTTTAGTATTTTCGGATTGCTGAAATCATATCGTATGGCAACTAATAAGTAGATCAGAGTTAGCTTCAACTCGTTTTTACAAAGCTCCAAGATATGTAATCTCAAAAAATGACCTAACTTTTAATTCAACGAATGGCGGCTGGAAGGCGGGGCTTTGTGACCTAATTATCCGCTCGCGCCCGCGACGCAATCTGCGTCACTCTCGCGCTCGTGCTCTCTAATTATCCTCTAAGCTTGACCAGCTCACAAAGCCTTGTCTTCCAGCCGCCAATCCAGTTGAATTAAAGGTTACTTAGCCAAGGTAAAGAAGCACATATTTCAAAAGGCGAACTTATCTAAGGCAGTCTGATGAAGAGGAACGCGTCCAGCAAGCTCAGATTTTGACGTAAAACATTGCCGTTTTGTCCGTCAAGATTCATTAGGTTAACTTATTTGCAGTAAACGGTGCCTGAAACAACTGCACAGTTCCAAAAATCACATAAGCTACGTTTTGTGACTGAACTGGAGGGTTCGCAGAAATCTCAACCCAAAAGTTCGTCGCAGCACTTGAATGCCAACAGTTTCACTTTTTCACAGTTGCGAAACCACATTTTCACGGACTTTTCGCTCCTATCCGCCGATCGTCAATCTCAAAGTACATCCACGTGAGAGCTGGAGCTTGCTTGGCAAACACAGCGAACCCATCCGCTTTACTAAGAATACACAGGCAACGCGCATCTTTCTTCGGTTGTTAGGAACGCTGAGTAATTATCGATCGATATATTGATTGCATTGATGAGGTGGATTTCATCAATTATCTGTAGAATGATGTCACTTTGTTCCGAATGGATTGCTATATAATGAACCTAGGTGAGGGGTGACGTCGCAAGTGAGGAGGTGGGGGGGGGGGGGGTGGTATTCGAGGGGGTGACGCGCTCTCGGGGCTCTGCGATGGCTAAACAAATCCCGGTGCTCGGCTCGCGTTCTGGATTTCTTTCCGGCTCTACGCTGGCGATGACTGTCTCGATAGGCTTTTGTCCGATTTCATGCTATGCTTGCTCAGCTATTCGGCTTTTCTTCGCTGATCAATGAATTTTTACTAGCCAGTACACTTGGTTATTTTGCAATTTCGAAATTTCTATCCCATAACTCAGACCATTCAAATAAATTTTTCTAATTATTTTTAATCATTGCTCGGGTTACCATCTGATAGAGCAATGTACAAGTTGCTCACCAGGTGTCGACTTAGATCATGTTCCAGGAAGCTTTGGACAAAGTCTAAAATCTTTACATTGCGCCAATTGGATTACTCGGGTTTTCTACTTTCTCAAAAAATAACGCATCAGATATGAACAAAGCGCATGATTCATGTTTTTGGTAGGAAAATAACACAAGGGCAAGCGGGAAATGGTTAACGAACCTGGAATTCTCCCACATATGTAATTACAATCACCTCTTTAAAAGTGCAACATTAGATTTACACCTTTGTACCATCCAAGAAATAGCTAAATCTTTCCCTAAAGAATTGGCTTCGTCTGACTCCTTCTGCTAATTCATATGAAAAAGATCTCTTAACAAGAGCCTTAAGTTGACTTAGGTAATCGACGGCACATCTTCAAACCACTCTTGAACATTTGTTCTTAGAGGTTTAGCAAAGACTGTACTGTATATATTCAACGAAGGTTTCTGTAAATCTTCCTAGATGTGTTTAGGTGGTAAAGAACTTGATTCTTGAAAGAACATTTCCTTGATCATACTGCTAAAGAGGAAAATGCTATTTTGCATGATTTGTCGAAAAATTTAATGGCTTTTTTGAACATTTTCATATACAGGATTGGACTTCTACTTCAAAAGCAACATTACAAAACATCTGCTTCTCTTTAGCGTAAATTGAGCAACTAACAACTTTTGATTATCTTTTTATGATTTTTTTACTGCAGCCTTTGTTGCACTTTCGTCAGCGGGAGATTAATGTTCGTTTTTGTTCAACAATTTTTCTACACACATTTACTAAGAACTGTAGGCTTGATTTTATTACTCCCCAGGGCTCGGCATTAGACGGCTTTTGGAAAATGCAGAAAACGAAGTCCCACTTGGCGCGAATTTTTACGAAGTTCCCTTCCCCCTGTCCTAATCGTAAGAAATCCGCCGCAAACAAAACATCGACTAAATAAAGTCCGAATTTTTGTGTCTTTTCGGCTTCAGAAACGATACTCCTTTTGCTTTTTGTCCTAAAAACGATATCCACCTTGCTTACAGGCTACCTGTGCCGAGCCCTATTACTTCCTTACTAAACCGTGTGACGTGACTTCTAGACTGATAATCGAGCAATTCTTGCAGATGTTTTAACAAAAAACTTTTTGCAATATGCGATGGCGTCTGGGCGGCTCTGTTATATCTGTGCAGACGATAAAACCAACGCAAACGCCATTATAATGATTTGTCATCTCATGATGTAATGAGGCCGAGCTTATCGGTAGCGGTAGAAGTTCCTCCTTCAAGATCTTCAAACGCTTGTATCACGATTATCACGATGCAAAATTATCAGAAGAAAAAATGCTCAAATTTGTCACCACTCATCGAACACACCTGTGATACTCAACATTGTAAGGATAATAACTTTCCGAACTCTCTGGCCTTACACCAGCTTGTATTTCTGTTTCTCATTCAGTATTGGATAATTCATCTGGAACAGATGCAAAATGGGGCGGGGCGAATTGTGAGCATAGAATACAAAACAGTATTTGTCAGAGTGTGAAGACTCTAAAGCTTTTTGTTTCCCTGAACGTGCTTTTCAGCTAACTGATGATCCATTGAACATTCTCAGTAGAGCTTGCGCGTTATTGCATTTACTAATATTCTTCAAATGTGTAAAAAAACGTTAAAATCATATGACTTAACCCTTTAGATTTCTGTATCCGTGCGGGATTCTTGGCAGTTCTACTGTAACAAGAGTTCTGGACGGCACGCTTCTCTTTTCATGCATCTTGATCTCTTACCCCCTCGACTCGAAGGAGTCAAACCCGCGCTTTAGTAGAGTCCAGATTTTGCACTGGTTGCTTTGTGTGACAAACGCACATAAAATTTCCGTTATGCCAGCTTGATCCTAAATCTCCCTGGCTGACCTCAAATTCATTTCAGACGCGAGGTTTGATTCGGTATGGATGTGGAGGACTTTCAAAACGATCCATCATGGCCATTTCTGCGGCAGTCCCAAGAGCAGGTGCGTTGATATTTTTTCTGACGTATGTATAAGTCGCGAATTCTATTTTGCATTCTTTTAGCTCCTAGCAGCAACTACGAAGAAATTCGATTCCAAGAAAAATATCTGGATTGCCGATCCTGAAGAGGGATTTATAGCAGCCGAAATCAAGTCGTCCAAGGGTGACAACCTTACTGTTGTTACTAGTAAGGGAAATGAGGTTAGCTTAAACAACCAGAGTAAAAAAATGCGCCAGCATAAGCAGTTGGAAGATCTTCTGGTTTAGAAAACCATTAAAAAAGACGAGGCGCAGCAGATGAATCCGCCGAAGTTCGAAAAAACCGAGGACATGGCAAATTTGACGTTTCTCAACGATGCTTCAGTCTTACATAATCTTCGCCAAAGATACTTTTCTATGATGATTTATGTAAGTGTGAAGAATTTGGCACTTCGTGTGCACGCTCCGCCCACTCCATCGGATGTGGGCAGGGCTTACCCTTTTCAAAAGACAGACAGCATATGGACTTGAAATCAGATTATTAAGTGTATCAAAATACTTTTAGACCTACTCCGGATTGTTTTGCGTCGTGATTAATCCGTACAAAAGGTTACCGATTTATTCGGAGGCTGTGTGCCAGATGTACCAGGGAAGACGCCGCAATGAAATGCCACCACATCTTTTTGCTGTCTCAGACGAAGCCTATAGGAATATGCAGAATGGTGAGAAGAAACGCAAAATATCTTGAGGGCCAGAGCTCATATATAACTTCTAGATCACGAGAATCAGTCGATGTTGATCACTGGAGAATCGGGTGCAGGAAAGACAGAGAACACGAAGAAAGTCATTGCGTATCTAGCGCTTGTTGGAGCGTCGCAAACGTAAGTGGCAACAGGTTGACAATAGCGGTCCCATGAGATTTTTTGTGAGGAGGGGCAGACAGGTTCTCTTCATCATTGAGCGTAAGAACACCGCTCTTCAAAAAATTATTGAAATGCTCCAAAAAAATCTGGCAAAGCGACAACTTGACTTCCTTGGATCTTGGAAAAAGCTAATTTTTGCATGTTTTTGAGTTAGCGCTATAAATTAGCATCTATCCTTTGCTTCAACCAAAGCGGCGGCTGGAAGGCGGGGCTCCGTGACCTAGTTAAGGCTACAAAATTATCAGAGAGCATGCTCACGAAATAGGCGGCGGAGAAGCCCCGCCTTCCAGCAATCTGATTGAATCAATGTGTGCGTACTAATCAATGTCAAGATATTCTGAAAATTTACAAAGCTGACTTTTCGGGTCTCATTTCCTGATAAATTGACGAATAAAAACATGATTTACCTAAGTTTATAACGCATGTGGACCATTTTCAAAACCATCGCGGTCATGCGGCGGGGGGGGGGGGGGTCCAGATTGGACTTCGCAATTTGCCTTTGTTAGCAATGTGATAGTTATCCTCTGAGCACACATTTATCACATTTTCTAATTGCAAAAACATTGTAAGTAAAAACAATTTCTTCCCCTTATAATTTGATTTTATAGCAACAAGAAGGACGCAAAAGACAAGAAGAATGTATCCCTGGAAGATCAAATTGTGCAAACAAATCCAGTGCTTGAAGCCTTTGGTAATTAAGTCTCTAGAACTCAAATTCTTTATTTTATTCTTTTCCTTTAGGTAATGCAAAAACCGTGCGTAATAACAACTCGTCTCGTTTTGGAAAATTCATTCGAGTACATTTCAACAGAGCTGGAAAGCTGGCCGGAGGAGACATCGAACACTGTGCGTTATTTATTACCTTATCATTTTCTACATACAAATCGAAATTTGTAGATCTATTGGAAAAGTCCAGAGTGATCAAGCAGGCTCCAGGAGAACGTTGTTACCATATATTTTACCAGTTGTATTCGGGAGCTATCGAAGGGCTGAAAGGTAACTCTTTTGTATGATTATTTTGGAAATAGGACATCTCACATTCCAGAAAAATTGATGCTCACCCGTCCCATCAAAGATTATCATTTTGTGGCTCAAGCTGAAGTCACAATTGATGGTGTAAATGACAAGGAAGAGATGCTGCTCACGGATGTAAGTGCTCACTTATGGAATGTGAGGGAAAGGGCCGTCGACTACTAGGTGTTCCCGACATATCTTTCTATAGCTGTTAACTTTTGATCTGTTTTTTGTTTGAAGTAGCGAAGAAATCTGTTTTTAGCTAGGGAAATGTCGAGTATGTTTGGTGGAAAGTTTTGAAGCCTTTGACTGGCGGTGATCGGTGTACAAATCAATATGATTTTAATATTATTATTATTTGAACATTGTTTAGGAAGCTTTCGACATCATGAAGTTCACACAAAAAGAAAAAGATCAGCTCTTCGCCATCACCGCTGGTGAGTTTTTTTTTTTAATCAAGGTGAAAAAGTGGGGCTTGTTTTGAAGAAGTTGGGCGTGAAAACAAGAGTGAAAGCTCAAGAAAATGAGAATTGTTCATTTTTTTGGATGAGAAAAAAGTTTCGCAGCTGCAGAACAAGTTGGGAAGGGCAATGGGTCTATTCTTTTTGCTTTTTTCCGTCAACAATTTTCGTCCATCGGCTAAACGAGTTTTTCTCGGCTGCCCCTGTACATAGTTTTTACTGGGCGGAGTTGGGTCTAATAGGCGCCAGTGATAGTGGTCCATACTATCCAGTCGGGCTAAACGCTAACTTCATCAGCGGATTCTTACCGACTAACATAATTGCCTTCGTCTGCTTATGGCTGAACTCTAAGTTAAGTTACCAAAATATCATATCTCGTCTCAGGACTCATGCACATGGGTGAACTGAAATTCAAGCAGAGACCAAGAGAAGAGCAAGCTGAACTAGAAGATGGCAAAGGTAAGATCAAATACTGAAGAAGTTTGGTTTCTGCACTAATTTATTTTGACTTTAGAGGGTGAACTTGCTTGTAAATTGTTCAATGTGGACTACGATAAATTTGTCGGTTCACTGCTGAAACCGAGAGTGAAAGTCGGCACGGAATGGGTCAATAAGGGACAGAATTTGGAGCAGGTCAGTGTTTCCGGCGTAAATTTTTTGGTGCAAGTGCTGACTCAGAAGAAGTACGGATACTGTTAGTAATTTTTCTTAAATTTTTACGTTAAATAATCTAGGTGAACTGGGCAGTTGGCGCTTTGGCCAAAGCACTTTACGCTCGAATGTTCGCATGGCTCATCAAGAGGTACGGTAATATGGAGTGTAATACCTAAACCTAATAGACAATGATTCAGGAAAATTTGGGAAGCTTTACGTTTGCTATCAAAGTGTTTTCAGATGCAACAAAACCCTAGATGCACAGGACCTAGCGAGAGAGTTCTTTATTGGGGTGTTGGACATTGCTGGATTTGAAATTTTCGATGTAAGTTTCATTATCTCAGATATCTGTCGCTATCACAACAGAAGATCAAAAATTTCAATTTCAAAATGGGAGAGGGGAGGAGGGAGGAGACTCAGGTTTACAGGATAACCAACTTCATAGTCGGAGAATTGGGGAAAATCAATCAAAAAGTCGTTTCTTTGCGGCTGCTTCGCGGTTGAAAAGATGATGTTAGGGTAAAATTTCTTGGTGAATACCCCGAATTTCCAACTACCCGTACAGAAACACATCTTAAAATAACATTTTGCAAGATGCTATATTATAATGTAATATTTTTTGCGTTTCACTTACGATTTTTCTTTGCTGGAAGAATGTACTCGTTTTTAAAACCCAAATCTTGACTTTTTCTGCCCTTTAGCACAACTCGTTCGAACAACTTTGGATCAACTTCGTCAACGAGAAACTACAGCAATTTTTCAATCACCATATGTTCGTACTCGAACAGGAAGAGTACTCTCGTGAAGGAATCCAATGGGAATTCATCGATTTTGGACTTGATCTACAAGCTTGTATCGAGCTACTTGAGAAGGTAGAAGAATTTATTCATATCTTACTCATTCTTGCAAAAATGCGTTTTCATTTGCAGCCTTTGGGTGTGATTTCGATGTTGGATGAGGAGTGTATAGTACCAAAAGCGACGGATTTGACACTCGCATCAAAATTGAACGATCAGCACCTTGGCAAACATCCAAACTTCCAAAAGCCGCGACCACCAAAAGGAAAACAGGTGGGTCATTTGACTCTTGTCAGTTTGACCTTATTTCTCTTTTTAGTCCGAAGCTCACTTGGCCATCGTCCATTATGCAGGCACTGTACGCTACAATGTGAAGGGATGGTTAGAAAAGAACAAGGTATGACGATTATAGCTGACTACGCGGAATCGCCTAGGCTGAAGGTTCGCGAGCGTGTGTCTTACGGACTAACATTGGCATTCGCGCGCATGAGTCATCATAGCGACAGCACTCGGCTGCCGCGTCGCAGGCACGCTCGCGTGCGTTCAGCCTACAGCGATATGGGCGACTTAGCGCAGTCGACTTTATTTAACCAGCCTTAATAGTTCGCGCAACTCCACTGCTTAGGACCCTCTAAACGACACAGCTGTCAGTGTACTCAAAACAAATAAAGGCAACGAACTAATGTTGGAGCTTTGGGCCGATTACAACACTCAGGAGGAAGTTGCCTCAGCAGCCAAAGAAGGCAAAAAGGCTCCTGGAAAGAAAAAGGTATGGTAGAAGCTGCCAACAAATCTGATAGTGAGTGCTAAAAAACTGGATGAATTTTAGGGCAAGTCCGCCTCATTCATGACAGTTTCAATGATGTACCGTGAATCGCTGAACAATCTGATGCACATGCTAAACCAGACACATCCACATTTCATTAGATGTATCATCCCAAATGAGCAAAAGAAGAGCGGTAAGTAGAAAGAAAAAGGGTACTGTAATGTGTCTATGTGCGTACCCTTTGATTCAGCTGGCTTGGCGACTGGAAGGCGTGGCTTCGTGACCTATTTAAAGCTAGAGTATGATCAGAGAGCAAGGGAGAGACGGGAGAGAGGCGCGAGAGGCCTTAATTAGGTCATAAACACCGCCTTCCAGCCGCCAAGTCGGTTGAATGAAAGGTTGGATACATATATTGTACCAAAGCTGGGTTACAAGATTAGCAGAGAGAAAGGACCGTATCAAATTCAAAACATCCTTAAGGACTACATAAGAATTATGGATGGATGATGAATAGTTTGGACTGCGTAAAATGAGTTCATAATCGGAGTGACATTGCAGTCTCTACTATTTTAGTTGTAAATGTGGTAGAAAAGTTTTTAGGCAAATTTTCCCACTTTATAAGTTTATACCTCATGCACCCGAGAGTGGGTTGCAAAATTTTCGAAAGTAACCTACATGGGTTATGAAATTCAAATGGAGTTGTAATCATTTGTAAATAATCAAAACATTTTCCAAATTCTACAAAAAATCAGACTAGCTTTGCGAAAAACCTCTCGAAGGTATGGCTGCTCCACGTTCTCTTCTCAAATTTTACGGTCACGAGCCCGTATTTTGTGCATCCCAAAGTTTATTAGCAGGGCGTAGTTTCTATCGCTCCCCCCCCTCCCCCCCACCCTTCCCTTTCTAAAAGAAATTCCTCGGATTATCATTGATCTTGTGGTAAAGTGGGCTTGAGCTTATGAGAATTCTGTGAAACCTTGCCCAAACTACACCTCTCGGTACGGCCAAGTTCCGTTTGGAGCAAATTTGTATCCCTAAAATGGATCAGCTGAGTTTACCTATACAAAATCTTTTTAGGCCTGATTGAAGCCAACTTGGTGCTCAACCAATTGACATGCAATGGTGTACTGGAAGGTATTCGTATTTGCCGCAAAGGTTTCCCCAACCGTATGCCTTACGATGATTTCAAGCAGAGGTACATCAAATTTTGAATCGGCGTGTTCAGCTTTAACATAATCAAATAGATACGCTATTCTCGCTGCTGAAGCTGTCAAGAGTGCCAAGACTGATAAAGAAGCCGGAGAAAAAATTGCTGATGCTCTCATCAACAGCAATTCTCTCAAAGTTGAAGAATTCCAGTGTGGTCTCACCAAGGTACATTGTTCACATGGAGGGGGTGGGGGAACGAAAGCCGCCAGGTCCAGCCGCCTCCGCGGACTGCTGGTCCTGGAACGACATGCAACAACGCTGCGAAAGGACCAGCTGGCCGCGAAAGGCGGCTGGACCTGGCGGCTTTCGTTCCCCCACCCACATGGAGGTTTTGGATGGCCTGGCTTTTTAAAATCCTATCTTTCACTAATTCCATGATTGCTTTCATTTTTCTGTTTGCTAACACCGCATGGTTTGAGGCCATATTTTCATGACTACGATGGATGGAAGCCTTCAAAGTAAGTTAGTTCTTCTGCAGTTTCTTTTCCTTGGGATTATTTACTGGCTCAACTCCGACTGTTACCTTTTGTACAAGAAGTGGGCAATAAATTCCAACCTTATGAAATTTTTTGTAAATTGACTTAACAAACCAGAATCACGCATTTTCGTAAAACTTACGAACAACTCTGGCACCGTAAAATCCAAAAGTCCTCTGCTAAGCTCACAGGCACTATTCATCTATTAGTTTTTTCCACTCCTAACAAATCTAACAAGAATTTTCTTACTTTCAGTATGAGTTCCAATGTGGTTTTTAACCCGAACCAAGCGAAAAAGAGATTTCTAGGTATTCTTCAAGTCTGGTGTGCTTGCCCATTTGGAAGAGCTGCGCGATGAAGCTCTTGCGATCATTATCACCAAATTCCAATGCGCTTGCAGACACTATCTGGCTCTGGCTGATGTAGCTCGAAGAAAGGAACAGAGGTTGGTTTCTCTATAATTTATCCTTTGAAAATTTTCGGGTCTAATTCTGCATCATTACGGAGCAAAGAAGTTTTTGTCAATCATGTCCCTGAAAAATCAGAGCTCAGAATGAGTTTCAGCTGGCTTCCTGCCATACAATTTTTTTGAATTTGCAGAGCTGGCCTTCTCGTAATTCAACGCAATGTTCGTGCATGGTGTACGCTTCGAACCTGGCAATGGTTCAAACTTTATGGCCAAGTTAAACCACTCATCAAAGGCAATAAGAAAGATGAAGAAATGGAGGCGTTGGCTCAGAAGTAAGTCCCTTCCTTGTGTAAATCTTCGTGTAGCATAATTTGTCATTTTTAGATTGAAGGAGCTTGAAGAAACAAATCAGTTGGAGGAACGTAGACGGAAAGAGTTGGAGGCAGAGAATGCCAGGCTTCAGGTGAGAATTTGAACAGAATATGTGAAATGAATAGGAAAGTCAAACAATTTTTTATCGTCTAAGTTCCTTACCCAAGCAGAAAGCCTTATAAAATTGTATAGTGGTTGAAACAGGCTCTAAGATTTTTGCAAGTACTTGATCGCGAATTTAGGCTGAAAAACAAGAAATCCTGATCCAACTCGAACAAGAACGTGATGGAAACGCTGAGATTGAAGAGAGAAGTGCCAAGCTATTGGCCCAGAAAGCTGACATAGAGAAACAGGTACCTATAACGAAGGCAGCACGGAATGAATTTTGATCAACTTTGTTTTTAGAGCACAGACCTCGCTGATCAACTGGCTGACCAAGAAGACCGCAATGCTGCTCTAACAAAAGCTAAAAAGAAGGTTGGGACTGGTTTTGTTAATGAAGAGTTAGAAAATAGTCAAGCAGTTCAAAAATCATGTGATCTTTATGTAGGTTGAACAAGACAATGATGCGCTAAAGAAGACAGTATCTGAACTGGAACTAACCATCAAAAAACAAGAGCAAGAGAAACAGAGCAAAGATCACCAGATTCGTAGCTTGCAAGTAAGTTCTTCAAGACGCATTCCAGAAAAAAATAATGATTTTTACTTCAGGATGAAATCGCTTCCCAAGACGAAGCCATTTCCAAGATCAACAAAGAAAGGAAGAACCAAGAAGAGGTTGATTCTTTGCTTTCCCTAAAAAAACAAAGGCAAGAGTAATATCTTACTTTCAGGTCAATCGCAAACTTCTAGACGACATTCAAGCTCAGGAAGACAAAATCAACCACATCAATAAAGTCAAAACGAAACTCGAATCCACACTTGACGAAGTGGAAGACGCACTTGAGCGAGAAAAGCGCGGTCGACAAGATGCCGAGAAATTGAAGCGGAAAGTCGAAGGAGAGCTCAAGGTTGGTAAAATACATATTTATATGTCTGAAATTTTCTCATCTAACAAGTGGGGTAAGTGGGGTAGAATATATCTTAATTGCTACTAGCGTAACAAAATCTGGTCCAAAGGAACTTAGCGTCTAATTATTACCTAAGGAAAGTAGCCGGCAAACTGGAAATGAGTGAAACCTATCCTCTCCACAACATCTATTGTCATGTCGATTTCTATCGTAATCCAGCTTTACTAGGAATGTTCGACAAAAATCCAAAAAAAATTATTTCACATTTGGAATTCTTTGAGCCCCTATAATAAATGCTTACTGTCAGTAGCAATGTTATGCCTTGCTATTCATTCCTCATTCAATAAGTGATTTTTAGATTGCCCAGGAGACAATCGAAGAGATAACCCGACAGAAACACGACCAAGAGAATCTCATTAAGAAGTGGGTGTTGATTTGATTGCAGCTCTGCCTTCGGGAAAATTCTAAACTACAAAAACTTCAGGAAAGAAGCTGAGATTCATTCGCTTACTGGACGTCTTGAAGATGAACAGTCACTTGTGGCTAAACTCCAAAGGCAAATCAAAGAACTCCAAGCCCGCGTACAAGAACTTGAAGAAGAATTGGAAGCTGAACGACAGAGCAGAGCCAAGGTCTGATATATTCAGTGCTTTTGTCTTTGAATGATCATTCCTGGAATTTTAGGCTGAAAAATCAAGAAATGAGATGCAGCTAGAACTGGAGGAGCTTGGCGATCGCCTGGATGAAGCTGGTGGCGCTACACAAGCTCAGATGGAGTTGAACAAGAAGAGGGAAGCTGAGGTAGATAGTTTAAAAAGATGGTAAAAAATTTTAACCGATTATTTCTTAAGCTGGCCAATCTTCGTCGTGACCTGGAAGAAGCAGCGATCAACAACGAGTCAGCAATGGCTGCACTTCGTAAGAAGCATACTGAAGGCATCGCAGAAATCACCGATCAACTCGATACTATGCAAAAAATGAGGGCTAAGTGAGTGTCCGCATAATTTATCATGTCTGCGCATAGGAATTAGAATAATGCCGAAAAAATTTCCTGAATATTTAGGCTTGAAAAGGAGAAAGCACAACAACAGCGTGAAATTGAAGAGCTCCATTCGGCCATTGATTCTGAGTCTAAGCAAAGACAGGTAGGAAAGATTAGCTTGACATTTGATCATTTTGCTGAAGCTCCGCCCGCCCAAAGTAATCCACCAATAGGAGCAGGGGAACGCCCACCTGCACGCGTGATTGGTTCGTTTTTCAGAATGTGGAGCGACTTGCGAAACAGCTCGAAACTCAACTGACGGACATGACGCTGAAGAGTGACGAACAAGCCAGAATTATACAAGAACTCACTATGTACAGAAGCAAACTTCAAGGAGAGAATAGCGAATTGAATAAGTACGTTGACGAATGCAGTATCGATTGATGGAATAGTCATTATGTGTATTGATTATTTTGATTTTCCAGGCAACTGGAGGATGCGGAATCGCAGATGGCAGCTATCAACCGCATAAAACAACAACTCAGCGCTCAAGCAGAGGAAGGACGTCGTCAATTAGAACAAGAAGCTAGAGAGAGGCAACAGATACAAATGCAGGTGTGCCCATCCCATCAAAAAAGATTTAAAACAAGAGTGCATTTTTCAGCTTTCCAACTACCAGCTGGAATGCGAGCAACTTCGTGAAGCTTTGGAAGAAGAGCAAGATACAAAGACTGAATTGCAGCGGCTTATCAGGTATGGTAACTACCATAATCTCTGTAAAACCAAAGAAATTCTCGAAATTTAGCAAAGCAAATGCTGAAGCACAGCAATGGCGTGCAAGGTTTGAAGGCGAAGGTATGAACAGAGCAGATGAGTTAGAGGAAGCAAAGAGGAAGCTGTCTAATAAGGTCATTCTAAAATTTTCAACGCTAACCGCAGATCTTCTTAGTGAATTTACAAGTCATGTTTGCACGTTCAGATACATGAAATGCAAGAACAAATGGAAGCTGCTAACCAAAAGATTGTCTCTTTGGAGAAGACGAGGCAGAGATTGGGACGCGAACTAGAAGACGCTCAAGTCGACGCTGATAGGGTAGATTGTCACAAAATTTATCATCCAAGCAATGTCTAAAATCACAATTTCAGGCAAATGCCATTGCAAATTCGTTAGAAAAGAAGCAGAAAGGCTTTGACAAGGTTGTCGATGAATGGAGACGCAAATGCGAAGCACTCGTCCAAGACGTCGAGGCCAGCCAACGCGACACTCGAGCCGCAGCCACGGAATCCATGAAACTGCGCAGTCAACTCGAAGAGGCGGATGAGCAGGTAGAATCTTAGCCAATTTTTCTTGAGTTACTAGTGAGCAAATGGGCCAGTTCAGATGGAAGGACTTCGCCGTGAGAATAAGGCCTTGGCCCAGGAACTGAAAGATATCACGGATCAACTTGGTGAGGGTGGCAAGAGTGTTCATGACCTACAAAAGATCCGAAGACGTTTGGAATTGGAGAAGGAAGAGCTTCAGGTGCATCCAATTTTTTGGGTAGAAAATTCATAGGGCTTAGGCTTAGGCTTAGACTTTCTCCAGCATCTACCTGTTATTCTCGCGGGACAAATCGAAACCGCGCCGCGATCCTTTCCGCAACTTATGTATTGTCTGCGTCAACGACACAATCAGTCAATGTAATCTTATTTTATTGCAGCAAGCCCTTGACGAATCCGAAGCAGCATTGGAAGCAGAGGAATCTAAGGTATTGAGAGCGCAAGTAGAAGTATCTCAGATACGTTCCGAAATCGAGAAACGCCTGCAAGAAAAAGTAAGAGCAACTTGCTTTTGATTCTAGTTTTCTTTACTGCCTCTGTTCAGGAAGAAGAATTTGAAAGTACTCGCAAAAATCACCAAAGAGCACTAGAAAGCATGCAAGCATCCTTGGAAAGTGAATCCCGTGGACGTGCAGAACTGCTACGGTTAAAAAAGAAACTGGAAAGCGATATCAATGTAAATTTTACAAGTTTTTTTGCCTACTTTGATTTCTTGTAGGAAACATGATTTCTAGGAATTGGAAGTTGCATTAGATCATGCTAACAAAGCCAGCGTAGACGCTCAAAGAAACATGAAGAAATACCAGGACTCAAGTCGAGATCTGCAGGTGAATCGTTACAGTATCCTTGGTTTCATGACCAATAGCGATCACCAATTTTGCGCGGGAGGAACGAGCCAAAAAAGGGCGTGGTCTAGACTTGAAAACCAAAGATTTGGCTGTCCTTCTCGAAGAGCTGTATTGCCTAACGGTTAGGAAAAGTATGTTCATAAAAAGTTTAGCTACAACTAGAAGAGGAACAACGACTTCGTGAGGAAGCCAATGAACAAACGCTAATGGCAGAACGAAGAGCTCAAATGGCACTGCAAGAAAAAGAAGATTTGTCGAATGCCTTGGAGCAGGTAAAGCAGTGAGATCTATGGAACTGGACTAGGAATCAAAAATTTTGAAGGCTGAACGGGCTCGCCGACAAGCTGAATTCCAAGCTGCTGAGAGTAAGGACATCGCTGCCACGTTGACAACTACGAATACAGCTCTGACAGCCAATAAGAGGAAACTCGAGTTGGAGATCCAGGTAGAATTACCAATTTCTAAACTATAAGTAATTTGAAGCAGTGCTTCTGATTACAGCAACTACAAACCGACATGGAAGAAGCTCTGAATGAGCTGAAGAGTAGCGACGATCGAGCGAGAAAGGCAAGTCTATTGCAGATTTTTGAGCAATCCCCAAAATTTTATTGATTTGCTCTATATAGGGATCCATAGAGATAGCGAAATTGAACGAAGAGCTGAAAGCTGCGCAAGAACATGCACAAGGTCTGGACAGGGCCAGGAAGGGAATGGAAGCTCAGATAAAGGTGATTGCTAAAGGACCCATGAACGGCTTAAAAGTAATTCATTGCAGGAGATGCAAGCCCGTCTGGAGGAATCAGAAAGTCAATCGTCTAAAGGAGGAAAACGGACAATAGCTAAGCTAGATGCTAAGTAAGGATGAAATTACCTTGAAGAACATTGTTGGCCCGAATTGTGACCCTTTTCTAATAGAAAGGGATGTAACGGAAGGGGGAGGGGAGGAGGGGGGAACGCAGGTAACGATAAGAATTTGTCCAAAGTCCTTTAAGGTAGGTGAAAAGTTCTCGCAAATTGTTGCACAAAATCTCCTCTTCTTGAAGACGTTTTTTTACTCCCTCTTTTAGAAATTTTTCTAAATTTGCTTAAAAATGACAATCCAAAGAAATTCTTTTTTTCTGGGATAGCAGGGACAGAAATTTCTGAGTGAGGGTGGTGTCAGTTACGACCTTCGAAAACGTTTTTGGGAGGCTTTTTATCTTTTCGTGAGCACGAGTGCACCAATCTTAAAGGCAGTGTCCGGGCAAAAACTTGATTTTGAGCTTTTGTGCTTATACGGGCCTATTCGCCATGCTGAATCCGAAAATCCACATTGGAAGTTGCAAAAACGGCGAAAAAGGGCTCTAACACAGGAGGGAAATCAGCAGGTGGGCGGGGCTTTCCCCAGTGCGATTTCACGCTCCCAGCTCCCGGAGCGATTTTCTCAGTTCCGCTAGCCGTCCTAACATCGCTACCGGCCAAGTACGAATGATTGACTTGAAACCTGAAGCGAGAAGGTCGCTCCGGAAGCCGGGAACGTGAATTCGCAGTGGGGAGGACCCCGCCCACCTGCTCATTTCCCTCCTGTGTTAGAGCCGTTTTTCGCCACTCTCGCGCTCTACAATGTGCATTTTCGGATTCAGCGTAGCGAATAGGCCCAAGTAAGCACAAAATCTCAAAATCGACTTTTTGCCCGGACACTGCCTTTAAAGGCGCTAGATTTGAAGGCACGTTCGCTGCGAGAACCGCGCAGTTCACTCAATCTCATCATTCTGAATAGGCACAACGATTCTTCATAAGATAGACATCTTTTGCCACACTACCCGTAACCGTTGCCCGTATACACCCAAAAAATTCTTTTTTATTTCTTATTTGCGCTATCATCATTTTCCGTTTACCTTCTGAATGAATTCGTCTAAGGTGTCGCGAACTTGAGACCGAGCTGGAATCTGAAAATCGTCGACACGCAGAAGTTACCAAAAATCTCCGAAACAAGGATCGACGATGCAGAGAGCTTCAATTCCAGGTAAGACCCTTATCTTTAAGTTGGCTTTCATGAGCTGAGAAACGAGATGGTTTTAGGTGGATGAAGACAAGAAATCCTCCGAACGAATGTATGATTTAGTGGAAAAATTGCAACAAAAAATAAAAACCTACAAAAGACAAGTGGAAGATGCCGTAAGTTATGAAGTTTACTTCTTCTATTTGAGTAAAGTAAGGCGCTATCTCTTTTAGGAAGGCCTAGCTGCCCAGAATCTGGCAAAATATCGACAATTGCAACATGCCCTGGAAGATGCTGAAGAACGAGCCGATGCTGCTGAAAATGCTTTGCAAAAGATGCGACTGAAGAACAGGAGCGGATCATATAGATCATTAGCACATTCTGTAAGTGTCTCCTTCCCACCTCCCCCCCCCCTCCTCTATTTTCTTACCCCTGTCATATTCTATTGTTTTAGGCATCTTCGAATGCAGTCAATAATCGAAGTGGATCACGAAGTCGAGTGCTTGAAGATGGCGTTGAAGAGTAGACCTGATACTCGTCTCATATATTGATACCAAAATTGTTCACTTGCTAATCACTTGATGTTTAACGTTCTCCTCCCTTCCCTCCCCTAAAGCTGCAAATTTTCGAAACCAAAGTGTCAGATTCTCGCAGTGTTTCGTTACCGTTGCCTTGCGCTGCGCTGAGCTTTCACCCATTCATTCTCAATGTGTGTAGGTGCTTCCTGCATAATTCGACTAACAACAACGTAAAATGAGTAAAAAATATTCCTCGTGGATGCTTTCTTACGAATAAAGTTACGACTTCATTCGCCGTTTCATAGATAGTTTGTATATCAAAAACAACATCGTACCAGGAAGAGCAAAGAGTCTGGAAATGGAAGCTTCTGAAGAGTTATGTACTTCTCTATCAAAAACGCTCTCAAATTATGGTTAAGAGGGAAATCTGGTGCTTTCTTGTCTGAAACATTCTTTTTTTGCAATAGTTGAGATCCTTAAAGGCACCGTTCACCCAAATTGTGGTTGGTGAGGTTTTGAAGTGGTAAAGTACTGGACGCCCTCAATTAAGTATTCGCCCAAGTACCGCTGCAAAGAAACAAATTTCAGAGAGAGAAAAACGTTGCAAATAATATCAAGTTGTGTGGGAATTAATGCCCATTTTGCTTCGCTTCATTTCGAAGTGTCGTAATTCGCTGTGAATACTTGTAAATGCGGGTTTATCTACCTATTGCTTACTCACTTGTTCTGTTAGCTTCAAGAGGAGATCAAGTGTGATACGAAAAACAAAAAATATTCTTAAGTCAAAATAATTCTCCAAGTTCTTAAGTCATAATCCAAAATCGGGATTTAATATCTAGAGTTGTCGTAACGCCCTCCATTATGATCATCATTTCGACATTTTCATTTAACCTGAAACTCACTTTCGAGCTCTTTGTCTTCAGACTATATACGTTGAAGGCGGGGTCGGCTAGGCCGTTTCTATCTTCTAAAGCAATTTTCTCGCTTCGAAATTCATCTTTTGCCTCAGGATTCGGAAGATCACCTAAGTAGGGGGCCGCTACCGTATAGCTTCAAAATCTCAGGATCCTTAACTTCGACCCCGGACATCGGTGCGGACACACGAACAACTCTGAACGTATCTGATGAGTAGTTTACCATGCTCTAGTTGCCTGGGAAACTGTCAGAACAAGGAAGAAAAGAAAATTGTTCTTTATTGCTTTTATTTTGAGATTTCTAGCGTTTCGATCTGTGCAAATATCAATTACTTCATTCATCTGATTTCACTTTGCTGTAGAATTTGTAGGCGCCATCCTTTGCTTCGCAGCTATAAAAAATTAGAATATGCGGAAAAATACACCAAAAAAGGTAAACTTACTGATATTCCAATTTTCCAGCAGATACGCTTCCATTAATAGGAATTAACTCGTCCACAGCATCTACCTGCAACGATAAAGATTACCATGGGTTGCTTGAAGCAGATGTAGCATACCCTGCATCCGTTGACTTTCACTCGTCCTCGTTCCTCACAAGTTTTCTCGAAGTATTGATTTTCTACCCATTTTTCGCCTACAAAAAACAGTCGGCTCTCATTTATTTTTTTTTTTGTTTAATAATAATATCTCCAGAAAACTTGCCTTGGTCCCTCTCTTTGCCTTGATTGTCTTTGCACTTGGCGTCAACAGCTCGGTCAAGCACACCAAGTGTTACAGTTCCATTTTCATGCTTCTTGCACTCCATTTCAAATCCATCGACCTAAAGGGAAACTTTGACAGATTGTACGACGAAAACTCGTTGCAACATAACACTGCTGACCGATTTCTTTTCGCCATCCTTGATGAGTGCGCCAGAAGATGTAACACAACCAACAAACTCTGAGACACCGTTCTCTCCGCATTTGAACTGGAACGATTTCTCCTGCCATTCCGAATCTGAACAGGTTCTTTTCGCCTTCTTGAAACTTGTTCTGTTCAGACAAGAAAAGTAAGAAAAATCAAATTTTCTCAGACAAGATCACACGAATAGTCAAAAACAGCCGCTGATCTCAAGGTCAGCGGAATCTGTGAAATGACAACGTCTTCTTCACACTATCAATTACGGTTTATCGTAGCAGAGGTGATTTGTTGCTTACTGCAGAAAAAGGAAACTTCGTAGATATTAGCGAGTTTTTATACTGCGTAATACGATATTGCAATCTGCAAAAAAAGTATGATTCTCATCTCAAGGCAAAATTTTGCTCAGAAGGTGTCCGGAAAGATCTGACAAGGGAAGGATGGTCAGTCGAAGTGACCTTTTGCGATGACATGTACATCATTATGTAGGGCATAAAATGCTGATTCCAAATGTGTCTTCCTTATCTGCGGCGCGTTCCTGCATAAGAAGTTATGAGCTTTATTGGAGAAAAAATTGAATATGCAAATAATATCAAAACAATAATCACATTATTCCTAGCGCTTAAATGGACCAGTGGTAATCTTTCCAACACTCTATAAAAAATACTCTAAGGTGAGATATATCACACTCCGGCTGTCTCATTCAAGCGCTGGGAAAATTTTAGCCAATGTTTTATCCCAGAAAAACACTCATTTTGCGCTCTTTCAAACGCTCATCACTCCTCCTTCAGAAATTTGGAATCAACGTTTTATGCACTTCATTATGGTATACAATTCATCTTAAAAGGCCACTTCGACCAACCATCCTTCCCTTGTGAGTACTTGGAGATCTTCCTCCGAGATGTTGGGGGGGGGGGGGGGGAGGGGCATAGCAAGGTACAGCTCAAGCAGCAGATCACATCATTGACTGGTTGCCGATGAAATCAGCTCCAAATTCTCGCCCGTTACCGTACTTTTTGCGGTCGAACCAATTCTTGAGTTGATGGGCGAGAGTTTAAGTTTGAAGATATCAACAAATAATATGCTGATATGGTCTTCAAGACAGTATTTGCATAAAAAATACAGGTAACAAGATCTTTCTGAACACTACAACGAGATGATTGAAAGTAGAATTTTTTGCGAAATGTTCTCAAAAAAGATTTGACCATCTTCCCCACACTCCTAAAATTTGTTGCCTCACCTTCTCCCTTTCTCTAATCGTGAAAGCTGTTTTTTTTTCGAAATAAAACAAACCGAATGGATGTCCGTTGCAAGCGGCATGCTTGTTCATCTTTTGTTGTAATGTAATCTGTCCTCCAGGGCTCATTTTGCATTCCCAGATATGATCGCCGATATCGACTTCTTCGTTGACCGGCACCTGCAAATCGAACTTTGTTCTCAATCTTATCATAACCCGTTAGTTCCAAACTCCAGCCAACTGTTCAGCTCTAATGCTAGATGTATGATAATGTGACTTTAAAATATTGCTCACCACTGTTTTGTCGGGTGTCACACATCCTGACACTTCTGTTCGCCATGATCCATTTGGCTCAATCTTGCACTTCATCTTGAATGCTTCGTTCTCAGTCTGAAGCATAATATCAATTTTCTTTTTTCAACAGACTCTAATCTGGGTTCCACTGTTTTGTTGTGCTGCCCTCTTAGCTTATCTTTTTGCGAGCCTCATCCCAAGACTGCGTACTTCGCATATGTTCTCAATGCTTTATGTTTGTCTGATGTAGAACTTTACAATGTGAGCAATGAACACTTTGACAACTACCCATTTCCCATGATGCCAATAAGCTCAAAAATTGCTTCATCACCTTTTTGGTTTCTAGGATTTGAACCAGAATTATTTGATCTAGATCAATCTGAATCAATTTCGAGCCAACGTTAAGTGTCCGGACTCAAAGATTTTCCTAAGAGTTTCTCATGACTTCCCGAATTACAGGACTTCGCCATTTACAGATCCCAAGCTTCCAATTTGACCTACCAAAGTACTCTTTGATTCAGCTGGCTCGGTGGCTGGAAGGCGGAGCTTCGTGACCTAGTTAAGGCTAGATAATGATCAGAGAGCACGCGCGCGCGAGAGACGCAGACTGCGTCGCGGGCGCAAGCGGCCTTAGGTCACAAAGCCCCGCCTTCCAGCCGCCAAGCCGGTTGAATCAAAGATTACCGAATTATAAGACTTCGTCATTTAGAGTTGGAAACTGAAGAATTAGAATTTCATCTGAATATAGAAACTATATAACTATATCGACAGTTAGTTTTTGACTGGAAAAACACAAATGCTATCAAAACTGTGTTTTTTGCACCTGCACAAAAATTTTCGTTTTCGTTTACCCTTGCTGGCTACTTCTATTATTTCCTTGCCAAACCATGCCTCTGTTCGGAGCATTCAAAATTAGGAACTAGGTAGTTATTGTTCATCCTCGAGTCGCAAACAAGGAATCAGTGAGGTATCGCTTTTTAATAACTAACATGCGTCTACCCACTGTCATAATTCTAGTTCTCAAATACTTGCTGGGCACTACAAAACCACTTACCCATTCTTCGTCGTTTTTGTAAGTCTTTCCTTTAAACTGGCATGCTAGCGCTCCACCCAAGCACAGAAAAATGTAGAGGAATTTCATGCTATAAAGTATATAATAATCAGAGTGTACATGGAAAAGATTCTTTGCATTTAAGAGAATTTCATAATAAGCATTGAGAATACTTTGCTCAAAGGAAACGTGCAACTCCTTATATATGATAGTGTATTTGTTTGATCATGCGCTAGCAAACAAACTTCCAAGAAAGGATTGAGTGTTGATGAACAATGCTTGGTTTTCCTCATTCTTCAAAAGGAGTGGAACTGTCACAATGCTTTGGAAAGACGTGCAGCTTGAAGTTGGAACTATAGCTTTGGTAAGGGAAAAAACTGAGAAAAGTGACTTTCGCAACAATGGAGCGTTCTTGAAGGAAGAGTTATATATGTATGTGGTTGAAATTTGCTAGTTACAGTGAGAATTGTTTATAATTGAATAGGAATTTTTTAGAATATCGTTGGTAGAAAATGTCAGTGAATTTTCGGTTTATCTTGCAAAATTTCAAAAAGTAAAGTAATGTCCCATATTGCAAAATCATTTGAATCATTTGTCTGGAGAAATAATGTTGTTGGCATTTTAAAAACAAGCTAATTGGAAATAGTCAAATCTTTTTTTATAATCCGGTCGCTAAAATTGGCAGAAGCTCCAACATCATTTTACCGATTTTAGTCAAGCTACTTTTCTACGTAGAGAAATTCGTGCTGGTCGGGAATCCTTACAAGCTCATAACTTTTGAATTTTTATTCAACTTTCTCAATTTTGTTTTTTTTTTGTAAGTGTAATGCAAAACGTAATGTGTAATAAGAAAAACACATCGCAAAGTGAAATCCTACCAACATTTTTTTCAACATAAAATTTTGAGCAAAAATGCAGCCCCAGTTTGCCGCATAACAATCTCTTGTCACAATACTGACAAGGTGTAACACATAGAAAGGAGCGGATGTCGTGAATAAGGAAGATGTTTGAAACACTTAAATGCAGTGGTTGAGTCGAATTTCGCTGTCTAGTGCACTTATCGTCCAAAGATTTTTGAAGAACGGAAAAGATTGCAACGCGGAGAGAACCACTCGAAAGAGTAGCAGACCAAGCGATAGACCGGGACATCGGCAGAATGGCCACTTGGAGGTCACTTCCTGCAAGGCGTAACCCCGTCATCGCCTTACATATTACTGATGAAAATCGCAAAAGAACTAGCAATAACCGGTTCTCATTTCGGAGATGGGTAAAACATAAAGACATTTTTACAATTCGTCTGATGAGCAAGTTGTGGCGCGCTCAAAAAGGGGCAAAAGACGGCCTTTCGCTGCGATGAAGATTTTGGAAAAAGGCCAAGTGAAACAAGTGCATCTAGTTCTTCTGATTAAATGGACTTATTGGGACGCAAATATTCGAATAATTATGTAGCTAAAGCGTTCAGCATAGCTCGGCGAAGAGAATCACGGGACCAACTGACGCTGTTGCTTGAAACTCGGAGCAATTTATAACATCCTATGCACCACATGTACATGCACACTCAACACATGTATACAGCATCACTGCAGATGATTTCTTCTGAAAGCATATGGGATCAATTAAGTTTTTTTATTTTGGGAAACTGGCATCCAGGGCTCGGCACAGGTGTCTTATAAGCAAACTAGATATTGTTTTTGGGACAAAAAGCAAAGGGGATATTGATTTTGTGGGTCGGAAAAAAATGCAAAGGAAAACACAAGTTAGATTAGGTTTTTTTGGTCGACGCTTTCTTAGTCAGTGAGGATAATTCGGATAAGGGTCAAAGAGAACTTCGTAAAATTTTGCGAAATCCAGGGAGACTTGGTTTTTTTCAATTTCGGGAAGCCGCCTCGAGCCGAGCCTTCTGGCTGAGAATTATCTACATCACCTCTTGCCTGTGATGATAGGCAGGGTCCAGCGCAAATGACGCTTTCACGCTGTTTTTGAGAGGAAAGCAAAAGGGCATCCGTACAGTTTTCCAGAGGATTCTCGGAAATCCGACAAAGGATCAGTAAGCACAACTTCAAAGCTCTAATGTCCAACACTTATTAGGCTGCTGCATAAGGTCTGCCCGATTTTTTTTGCGTTAAGTTTGAAGCAGCTGTTCTAAGAGAACTTCATATCTAATGCGATGTTGTTAGTATCATTAGAAAGTGCTTTTTTTGCTCTTTCTAATGCATAGCAAATTTTATTGGATTCCTTAGTGTAAGGAGATCTCAGACCTAAAATCTCATGGCCGAGGTACGTTCTCATCCAAGAAATACGTTCTTGTGAGAAAATTTCCACAATGTGCTCTTCAAGTCAAGTTCCTTCATTGGTTGCGGAATAAGGGTGTAGAAGGCTAGTATATGCAGAAGCTCAATTTCATGCAGAAAACGTCTTGCTAGAAAATTATTGTCGAACATCAAGTATAAATGTTTGTATAAGGTTTGTATAAATGTTCTACAAGCAAATTTTCTGCGAAGAGAAGTAATCGATGAGTTCAAAGTTGGAGGTGCTATTGTAAAGCAAAAGCTAGCAGGGCCCATCCACCAGTTCCTTTTTGACGCTCACGTCAAATATAAAATTTTCATAATTCGTAAATAGGTATGTACACATGTGCTGAAGCGAGATCAAGAAGCTAGTTCTTTTTTGCTCGGTCAAAAAAATCTCTCCGCAACGCAACCCTATGGGCTTTTTTATGTTGCAAAATAATCTACGAAAATTTCTCTATCTATCCATTGTTTGATAAGGTGCCTAACGATTTTCATAAGGAGCATTGCCATGTCAAAAAAGACAGGTCTGAAGAAAAACTGTGGAGTTTCTGAGTTCTTGCTTCTTCCTTAACAAGGATTTTCGCAAGTCTCAATATGTGTGTGATAGCCAAGGAACTGCACAACACATAAAAACTAAGATCTTGGAAAAAAGTTGATTTTGAAAAAAGTTATGACATTTTGAACAACAAAAAAAATCGGACAGAATTTACGCAGCAGCCTGAACAAACACGTTCAGTGCGTGAGCTTGTGTTTTCAACGTATTAGTAGCCACTTGGCGCACAAAAAGGTAAACAATTAGTTTGTTTATTTGCTTTTCCAAATTTGGTGTGTTACGAGAACGATCAGAGAAAGTCCGAAAACTTACGAAAACATCACGTGAACGAAAGGAATGTAAGTGCTCTAATTTAGGTTGCTCCACCGCAATTTGGAACTGCCCTGAGGTTGAGCGGGACCATACCAGGTCGTGATTTCCCCCCTTATCACAAAATTTTTAAAAAATTTTAAATCTATACTCAAGTCCGAGCCTTATGTGTGCCAAAATCAGAGGTTTCGTTTCCCTGCTTTGTAACGGCCCTTGATGAAATGGCCATTTTTCGCCTTTTGCTGTTTCATCTGATTTTGCTTGTTTTTCCGCTTTCGTCCACTCACCGTTCGCTACAGTTTATCAGCCATACTTCTATAGACAGGTAAAAAGTGTGATCTGTGATGTAATTTCTGCAATGATGAGGAGTTTATTTATTTATTAATTTATAAGTACACTTGAAGTGCGCCATAAAAAAAGAACTCGAACTAATGGGGTACCAGCCAGTTTCAAAACTCAGGCAGATAAAAATGACATGGAACAAAACAATTACAAATCAAAACACTGTAGGTCTAAAATATAAATCGGTATTAGCTTGTCAAATGACATATCAGGTCACAGAATAAATCCTGAAACCTTGCTTCCTCTAAAAACTGTAGTACCCATTTTTTGCCAGCGAGCCTGCGGGCGAAGGCTAGCTGACTAGGCCCAAACAAAGTTCCATTTCAAAAAAGAGCAAGATTATTAAACACAGAATTGGGTATTATATGTACTTTGGCAATTCATGTTCGGATAGGATTGTTTATGAGAGTGGTCGGGATGCTATCTGGGGCGGTATGCATCAATCTCCCATGAAAGCGGGCGATAATTTCAATAGGAAATGATCGCCCGGCCAGGTTGGCCGCCCGACCCGTGATGTATGATTTCTATTGAAAAATCGCTCGCTTTCAATACGGGAGATTGATGCATACCGCCCCTGGTGTGTTTTTGGACGGGATTGCTATAAAGATGATTTCCTTTTGGATGAAACGAGCTCGTTTATTTATGAACTAATAGATATAGCTAGTATCGATGAAATGAAATGTTTGGGGTTTAGGAGTGTTTCAAAAATCTACAAACATCTCATGCTGGGCCCTGATATTAGTTGCTGATAGAGAGATGAAGCAGGCTCATAAGTTCCAATGCCTGACACTCCTGCTTTTTGTCTCCTCCTTTTTCAACTTGATCGCAAAAGTTAAAACATTAGTGCATTTGTAGAACTAAAGCGTCTTCTACGTACCCAAGGTTTGAAGGTTAGTGCCTCTTTTTGCCTCAATCTTTAGCGCTTCTATGGCATCATTGTGTAAAACTAACTTCAGTTTAGAAGCGAAGACTCTACCGGAGCCGGTGGTGGTGTGGCCCACATTTCACGCATACAACCCTTCCATGATTTATGTCCCAAGAGGCCGTAGGAATCACTATTATTTTTGCACCAGCAGCATGCCCGATAACTGAAGCGTTTTTCGATATTGGGCTACCTATGAGATCAGACATGGTTGATTCTATTTTAAGGACAACTTAGCCACTCCATACTGAACTCTATAAGGGTTGAGAGGAAATCTTTAAACAATTTGTTTTTTATTGTAAGTACGGGACCAGGCAAGTTGATTATACAAAAATGATAAGGGATGTTTATTAACTGTTTACTACATGTAAGTATAACATTCTAAAGATGCCTTCTTTGGCGCGAATGCGTCACACGCTTAGATTGATGTCCACGCTGGCAGAAGTACTACATGTCAATCTTCCCACTTTTTCTGAATGTGACGGCAACGCAAAACCCTAGTGACGCGGATTTTCCGCCATACCAATTTTGGCGTGTTGGGGATTGGGAGAGACTATATGACGCGCGTCATACAGTCCCAATCCCCAACACGCGAATCGACCTGAACTAGGGCAGACTGTGGGGTTATTAGCGTGAATATATAGGCTAGTGGATCTAAGGGTAAATATAGTTTCTTTGC